AAGGGGGGGGGGGGGGGGGGGTAAATTTGGCATTTAATAAATCATCTAATTTACCTAAGCTGCTCTTTCATTCAGGTTTACATTTTAATTTAAACTATATTCTTATCTTCATACTATGTATATTCAATAAGAATTAATCAATTTATCAACTTACTCTTACTTAATAGATTAATATTTGAATTTCAAGGTATTTTGTGTACTAAAAGATTTTTCTGAACTCATGCTTTTAAAGAGAGTATGATTTTGAACTTTTGAGGGTATTTCAAAAATTTTAAACATTGAGGGTGTTAATTATAAATTTTAAATTTTAGGGGGTTACTACTCATTTTTAGATTTTATGTTTGTTGTTTTATGTTTTGAAAAATCAGGATGTTTTGTGTAATTTTGAACTATTGAGGGTGATTGGTGCAAATTTTAAAACTTTTTTGCTTTTTAACAATAATTTGTAGGATCTGAAATAGATACACTAAAACACTAGGGGGGTAAATAGTATTCTTTTAAAATTTATGCAAAGTAGATTATAAATTGCAAAGAAAAATGACAATCTCAGAAATAAAATTTATGCAAAGTAGATTATAAATTGCAAAGAAAAATGACAATCTCAGAAATTCACAAACACAAACACAAAGTTTTATACTGTAGATTATAAATTGCAAAGAAAAATGACAATCTCAGAAATTCACAAACACAAACACAAAGTTTTATACTGGTTCCACCAATACGGTGTACATCTAGCCCACAAGCAAATCCTGCTTGAGAGTTTCCACTATGATTTTAAATAAACTTACAAAATCAAAAGCAAACCTGACTAATTTGCAAGTCCCTGTAAATTACAACACCAATTGACAAACACCTTGTCAATTTGCACACTAATCTCTATAATTTGCAAGTCCCTGTAAATTACAACACCAATTGACAAACACCTTGTCAATTTGCACACTAATCTCTAAACCAAGAGATTAACACCTCTCACAAACACCAATTGACAAACACCTTGTCAATTTGCACACTAATCTCTAAACCAAGAGATTAACACCTCTCACAAATCGAGAGAACTTTTGAAGCAACAATTTTAATTCCTATAAGCCTTGATTTGTAGTGTAGTGTAGTAGTAGCTTAGGAGTGATTCTAACTTCTGTAAATTGCCTAAACAATAAGTATTTGAATGATGTTCAAAGGCAATTTTAGAAACTTTTTTTTTCTCAAAATCTAAATATTTTTCACTTGAAAAAATGCACAAATATCAAAGCTTATGGGTATGTAAGTCTCTGCATTTTTTCTGAACAAATAACCTATTTATAGCCCTTGAAAAGATAAATATTTGAACTTTAAAAACGTTTAAAAACGGCTATAAACAGTCATAAATTCAAACTTTAAATTCTAAAAAAAACTGTATCTGTAGTCGACTACAGGACATAATAGTCGACTACACTGAGTTTAAACAGACTCTGTGAATTCAGAAAATTTCTCAGTAGTCGACTATAAAGTTTATTAGTCGACTATACTGTAATTAGACAAAAACTTAAAAAATAAATTTTGGCTTCAGTAGTCGACTATAATGTCAATTAGTCGACTATACTGTAAAATAACAGAAACTTATATTTCTGTCATAAGCTTAAGTAGTCGACTATTATCCAAATTAGTCGACTATACTGTAAATTGACAAAAACTTATATTTAAGTCATATACATGAGTAGTCGACTACTATTCTAATTAGTCGACTACTAAGAGTAAAAAAATATGAATTAAATATTTTAATACTCAATAATTAACTATAACTCTAATGGTTAACATAGTGGATTTCTATAGTTAACCAACACACTAAGCCTGTGTTAATGTGTTCTAATATTTATGTGTGTGTGTGTGTGTGAGTGATCAAGGCTTGTACAATAATTCTAAGTAAAGAAAATGTAAAATACATTATCTCATATGTTCTTCATCTTCTTTACTTCATAATGCCTTGAACTCAACTTGCACTTGTTCATATTTTGATATTGAAATCTGCATATAAAAGTTAGTGCATTTGTATAACACACATTGTATAAATTGTTATCATCAAAATAATATCATGGAGATATGATATTCAACATAATTCATGTATTATAGTATGTTAGCTACTTATTATTTATTTACATTTTTATTATCGTTTAAACTCATTAGTGTTT